AAAGTTAAGAGTTTTGCCCAGGATCACACAGCTAGTAAATGTCTGAGGGAGGAACTGAACTTAGGTTTTCCTGACTCCAAGTCTAACTCTCTATTCACTATGCTGTATAAAAAAAAAAATACAGGAGAATGAAAGCTTATATCTCTCACTATTATGACTGGGAGGAAAACCCTAAATAAAAAGAGGGGTAGAAAGATAATAAAAGATATAATAGACCATTTTGTTCACAAATAATAATAAAAATAATAAGCCTTTACACAAATAAAATCAATGCAGCTACAGAGGAATCAAAATAAAAAATTGGATTTGGAAAAAATAGCAAACAACTATCGCTAATAAAACACTAACATCTAAAATGTACAGGAATCATAGGACTACAGATTTACTCCTAGGAAAACATTAGAAGTCCTCTAGTCTAACCTCCTCATTTTACAGATGAAAAACAGACCCAGAGTGACACAGGTACTAAATGACATAGGTAGCAAATAGCAGCTAACTTGTCTGAGGCCAGATGTGAACTCAGGTCATTCTGACTCCAGGCCCAGTGTTTGAACCACTGTAACACCTAGCTGTCCCTTTCAATTGCTCAAATGTATTTATCTTTCTAGTTTTCCCCTGATTCCAGTGTTTGCATTTTGAAGATTCTTTTCTTCTCTGGTCTTTTCATCAGGAATACTTTCACTCCAATTTCAACATACTTTTCACTATACCACTCCATTAATAATAGAGCCCAGAAAATAGAAGTCAGGACCAAATAGGTACTGACCACCTTATCCAAGGGTACAGGAAGAGCACAGGGCTTGACCCTGGCACAAAGTCCCAAACTAGAAATTGAAGCTAGAAATATCTACAAACAGAATAAGACACAGAACACAGTGAAGTAATACAATCAGTCAAGAGACACCCGAAAGGAGAAGACATTAACTCCACAACTGCAAGCAGAGTAGGGTAGGGGGAGCAGGAATGACCTGGCCACAAGAGCTACATGGGTGAAATGAAGCAAAAGATTTAAAATATCTAGTAAGATCTCTGGAGGAAAAAAATAGAAGAAGAATTATTAGCTTAAAATGGAAAGTGGAAAAACTTACCCAACTAGCAGACTCCTTTTTAAAAAAATACAACAGAGAAAACAGAACTCAACAACTACAGGAGAAAAGAAATATTAGAAAAAAATTAAAAGATTTTAAAAATACAAGACATGTAAACTATCTAGTATCAAAAACCACTGACCTTAAAACATGTCAAGAAGAGGTAATTTGAAAATCATTAAACTCTCTAAAACTATGACCCAAAAAAGTAGATGCTATATTGTGAGAAATCACAAATTAAAACTACTCAAATCTATTTGAAACAGAGGGCAAAGTGAAAACAGAAAGACACAACTAATCACATCCTGAAACTAACCCCAAATTAAAAATTCCCAGGTATGTCAGGACCCAAATCCAGAATTTCCAGGTCAAAGAAAAATACTGCAAGTATTCAGAAAGAGTTCAAGAACCAAGACACCTAGTTAGCATCACAAAAGACTATGTTGCTACAACCATATAAGAGAGAAAATATTAGAATACAACATTCCAAAGGTCAAAAGATTCACAAACAAGACTAACTTACCCTGCATATCTAATTCTACTGTGAGGTAGGAAAGGAATAGACCTTTAATAGAAATAGAAGACTTTCAAGTATTCCTGATGAAAAGACCAGAGAAGAAAAGAATCTTCAAAATGCAAACACTGGAATCAGGGGAAAACTAGAAAGGTAAATACATTTGAGCAATTGAAAGGGACAGCTAGGTGTTACAGTGGTTCAAACACTGGGCCTGGAGTCAGAATGACCTGAGTTCACATCTGGCCTCAGACAAGTTAGCTATGTGAGCCTGGTCAAGTCACTGAACCTCAGTTTCTGCATTTGTAAAATGGGGATGAAAATAATACTAACCTCCCTGGATTGTTGTAAGGTTCAAATGAGATAACATTTTTGAAATGCTTAGCACATACTAGTATGCGTTCAGAATTCTAACTTCTTCAAGAATCACAGAGGAAGTTAAATCAGAAAAACACTGAGTAGGGGGGTAAAATAATTCTATTTTTATGCTTTTAAGAGAGAAAAGAAAAGGGACAGGAAAAGGAGTACAAGGAAGAAATGACAACGAAGGGGAAGGAGTTTGCTACACCTGATACTCAAGGGACATGAAAGGAAAAGCATGCAAACATCAAAAGAATAAGGGAGCAGATAAACTTCAGTCTTATGTGTACTGAACAAAGTAGGGTTGAACGGGCACATACATTTTACACATGCCTAGAAAGACTGGTTTAGAAAGATTATAAACCCAAGAAGAACACAGGCTGGAACAGGAAGAGGGCAGAGAAGGTTTAAAGAGGGAGAGCAGAGGCAAGGAGAAAAGAGCCACAAGTAAAACAAACTTCAGCTTCTGAGGATGGATCTTAAGGGAGCATGAAAAGGAAGAAATGTAAGAACCAGTGACCCAGATCTGGGCAAAGTGAGGAGAGGAGGGGCAATAGAGTGAAAACAGACCACTCTGATATGGAATACCAGTATTGATCACATACCTTCTGTTTCCCCATCTTCTACTCACTCCCCAGGATTATTTTCCCTCTTGCCCACCCTGCCTCCCCATTCCTTTTCCATGAGCCAGAAGTACAGGTATCCTGAGCTTTCTCGTCTACACTGAATGTATGGTAGGTTCTGGGAGGCACAATGGAAATGGTTTATGTACATGATTTTGTAATCTATTCCACATTATTAAAAACTATGTGAACATAACACTGTTGGAATATGTGAATTTCAGAGGAAGTGACCTGAGAAAATTGAAAAGTCCTAAGGGATGGGGGCTCTCATCTAAGTAATAAACAGTAGATTTTGTATTTTAATGTGTACATGAACAACATCTCATTTCACCTTCTAGACTAGACTGAAACAACCCACTAGGGCTCAAAATCAAAGCTCTTTCTGAGCCAAGGGATGCTTCAGGGTTGAGGATGGGGTGGCCTCCAGTTGGCTGAGGCTGCCACCCCTGCTAGAAAGTGACTAGCCAGGGCACGGACGCACAGATCCAGAAGCTCAGGTGTTTATGGGTTTTGAGCGCCAGCTGGTGACTACCTCAGATATTGCACTCTGAGTTAATTTAAACATATTTGGCTGAATTAGCACAAAGCCTGTCACATAGTAAGCAATTAATAAATATTTGTTGACTAACTGAATGGATTTATTAACATAGCTACACTTGGCTCCTCACATAGATAATGGGAGCAGTGCAGAGCCAGTGTTACAAGAACATAGGAGTTCCTAGAGCACACAATTTAATTCTTAAGTCATACATGTGCAGCATAAAAGGAGCTAATATAAATATTATTTTTATGTTTCAACTATATTGCATTAGTTTGTATCTATTAAATAAAATGATTAAAAGGCATAAATTGGTGTAACATTAATTGAAAACATAAATGCACATCATTCACACATAAGATAAATGCATGTATATAATGCAATCCTGCAAAAATTATGGTCTAGGAATATAATCAAAAATGGCCCTTTACAAATAAGTTTACCATACCTTGGCTTAGAGGTATAAAAGCAGAGTAGTGAGAATTATTCCCAGAAGCCAAGGTAAGTATTAAGAAGGAAAAGATAGAAATCACTAATAATTAGAGAAATGGTCATTAAAGCAACTGAGGTTCTGCCTCACTCATCACATCAGCAAAGCTGACGAAAAGGGAAAATGACAAATGTTGGACTGGCTACAAGAAACAGGCACAGTAATGCACTGATGGTGGAGCTGTGAACTGGTTCAACCATTCTCGAAAACAATTTTGTACTATGTCCCAAAAGTTATGAAAAGTTTCTATATGTACAAAAAAATTTATAGCAGACTCTTTTGTAGTGGCAAAGAGCTAGAAACGAAAACATGTTTATCAACTGGGGAGTGACTGAATAAATTATGGTATAAGAAGGTAATGAAATACTACTGTGCCAAAAGAAATGATGAAGAATACACTTTCAGAGAAACTAGGAAGATTGAGAGGAACTGATTTGGGGAGAAGTGAGCAGGACAAGGAGAATATTTTAGACTAAAACAACAGCATTGCAAAAACAAACTTGGAAAAACTTAAGAACTCTAATTAACCAAATGATCAATCACAACTGCAGGGGACCAACAATGAAGCAGGCTACCCTCCTCCTGGGGGAAAGGCTGATGAACAAAATAGGAGAATGCAAAATGACATATTTTTAAAAGTGAACAATAAGGGAATGTGTTTTGCTTGATGTATTTGTTTTAAGGGTTTTGTTTCCCTTTTTTTGTATGAGGCAATTGGAGTTAAGTGACTTGCCCAGAGTCACATACCTAGCAAGTGTCTGAGGTTCAATTTGAACTCAGGGCCTACTAACTCCAGGGCCAGTGCTCTACCCACTATGCCACCAAGCTGCCTGCTCCTGTTTTCCTTTTGATTGGAGTATGGTCACATAGGAAGGATAGACCATGAATACTTACTAATTGAAAAAAAACTCTTAAAAAATTAAAAACTAAGTAAAAGGTGAATGAAGTGGTGGGCCCAAAAGGTCAAGAAGAAAGAGATTCCTTTTCCTGGAGTAGTAAAATTCTGGATTGGTTGTTATTCTTCATGCTCAAAGAGAACCAAAATGACATCACTACGTTGGGGTCAAAGTACAATGTGTCAACTCTGGTGGATCAGACCAATACAGGCTGAGAAGGCTCCACCACAAATAGACCATCTGAAAATCAGAGTTCAGATGTCTCTAAATTTGCACATCTCACATTTCAAAAACTTCTAGAACATGTTATTGAAAGGATGGTATTTTTGAAAGGATAGTGAATATTTATAATTTTTCTAGGAATCAAAGTTAAGTTCTTTGGCCTATATGTTCTAGACTCTGTTCTCCGCCCTCTTTTGAAAACTGGAACATTTGCTTCTCTGGAGTGTTGTGGTACTTCTCCCATCCAGGCAGTCAGTCAATAAGCCATTTATTAAATGTTTACAACATGCTGGCATTATGCTAAGCAGTGGGAATTCAAATACAAGCAGAAAGAAAGATAGTCTCTGTGGGGGCGGGAGTGGAGGGTATGTTTTAATGGGGAAAACAACACATAAAAGGAAGATGAAAAGGACTGGGGGAAAGAGTAAGGTAGTGGGCATGATGGAGGAATCTAGAGTGCAACCCGAGTGAGTGAGAAAGGAAGAGATGGCTAGATGGGAAGCCCTCTTCAAAGGAAAATTCTTGGAGAAGCCATCCAATCAGAAGAAGGAGCGGCAGGGGCCACCAGTACTTCCAACCTGTAAATTACAGGGCTGAGGTTATCTTCCAGATGAACAATTTCCTAGGGCAAGATGGAGGAGTATGGATTGCAGCCTGGTGAAAAATTATCTCCACGATCTTTCAAAGATCACTGAAGCAATTGAGCCATCACATCTGACAGTTCTTTCAGCATGCAGGATACAATTCATTTTGAGTCTGGTGGACTGAGGGCAGTTAGGTGCACTCTAACTTCCAGGTGCTTTCTTTCATATTTTGGGTATTACCTCCCCATTAACCACTTTCACTTTGTTCTTTCCAGTCCAAAGATCATTCTCTATGAAGAAAAAAGCAGAAGGAAAATAAAAGTCTGGCATTTGCACTTTCTCTACATCACTCCTTATCATCATCATCTATACACCCTAATTGGTGGTGATCCCTTCTCCCCAAGAGTCCCCTTACTTCTACTCCCCAGAAATCAGTTTCTTCTTTTTGCTTAGAGTCAGATCTAGAACAGTAGTTCATTTCTTCCATATTTTGAAGGACAAAATTACTGTTAAGGCGAGACAAGCCATTTTAAGCTGCTATGCTTTGGGAAGAAACAGATGGTACACCTCTCTATTGTAATATGATCAACAGAGAAAAGCCTCCATATCCCTCAGCAGGGAGTTGACCATCACCATTACACACTTCTTAATCTTACGACCTTTATGAGATGGTCTCTCATGTGGCAGCACCTGTGGATACACATGATCTTTTCTTGGAGGACAAGCAGCTCCTTCCTCCTCAAAGGGAGTCTTCCTCCTCTTCAGGAAGTCTTATATCTGTTGCTTAGTCTTGAATGTTCAGTGGTATTTATTCTCTTTTCTTCTTTCTGACACATTCTTCCACCCTCTAATCTCCCGTAGCAGGCCATGATTTTCTTCTTTATAGCCTTTTTCTTCTTTGTCTGAAATAAATAAGGTCGGACCATGTCATCACCTTACTAGATAATAACTAGTATTTATATAGCATTTGAAGATTTTCAAAGCAATATGTGTGTGTGTGTGTGTGTGTGTATCATTTGATCTTCTCAACAACTCTGTGACCTAAATGCTGTTATTGTCCTCATTTTACAGATAGAGAAACTGAGGCTGAAAGAGGTTAACTGACTTGCCCAGGGTCACTCAGCTATAAGAGAGAGGATATGAATTCAGGTCTTCCTGACTCTAAGACCAGCACAATATCACCCACTTTTCTAAATTTGAATAAACTCTAATAAACTCTAGTAGCTCCTGTTACCTCAGGCATCCAATATAAAATGGTTTGCTTGTCATTTAAAGCCTTTTACAACCTGGCCCCTTTGTACCTTTCCAGTCTTCTTACACTTTTCTCCCCTCCATATACTCCATGATCCAGTTGTATTGGTCTCCTGGCTGCTCCTTGAACAGGACATTCCATATCCCAACTCTTTGACTTTCATTGGCTGTCCCCCACTCCTGGAATGCTCTTCCTCCTCATCTCTGCCTCCTGGCTTCCCTGATCTCCCTCAACACAAGTCCAATCTTCTGTAAAAGGCTTTTCCCCCAATGCGTTCCCTCTGAGATTACCTTCCATGGACACTGCATGTATCTTATATGGACACTTATCTGCACATCGTTTCTCCCACTAGACTGGGAGCTCCTTGAAGGCAGGGACTGTTTTTATCTTTGTATAGCCAGTGCTTAGTACAATGCCTGGCACCTTGTAAGCACTTAATAAATGTTTGTTGACTGAATGACTTTGTTCTTTAATTGAAGGCTTTCTTCCATTTTTTTAAGGACCACACTAATTTTTCCTGATAACCTGGAAAATTGGAGAGATGTTTTTCAGACCACTTTGCCTTCTGATTCATTGACTGATTGATCTTCTGGTTATTTTGCATTTATGGTTTTTTACTCATTTTGAATATCTCAATATCTTGTGTCAGTTATAGCTTTCATTTAATGTGATTTTGCAAGGTTTGCTGCATTTTAAATTTCAATTTTACTACATCTTGAGTTTAGACTTGAGTTTTTCCTAAGAAAAGCATTTCCAATTTTATAATGAGTTAATTGGAATTTAAGACATAATAAATTGGAATTTGGTACTCAACAAAGATTCACTTCAGACTATATTTCAAGAATGTACCTCTTCCAAAAAGGGAAGTATGCTTGTATTGCAACACATTAGTAATCTGAAATTAAACAAAGCAAAGACATGTGTCTATAAAATACTCATCTAAAATATATCTAATCTAATCCAATCTAATATGTTACCTTTAATAACAATAGTATAACCTTTTAAGATTAAGAGCACTTAACCTGCCATCTACTGAGGATCCATGGATAGATTACAAGGTATCCATGAATGTTTTTAATATTTTGGTAACAGTATTCTAAAAACTGATTTCTTTTGTCAATTTCTGTATCTTGCTTTATGCATTTAAAAATATTATTCTGAGTAGGGAACAATAGGCTTAACCAGACTTCCAAAGGGGTCCGTGACACCAAAAAGATTAAGAACTCCTACTTTAAGACCTGGAGCAGTTACGTGGCATCCTAGTGCACAGAGTGCTGAGCCTACAGTCTGGAAGACTTGTCTTCCTGAGTTCAAATCCAGCCTTAGACACTTACAAGCTATATATGACTCTTGGCAAGTCCTTTAATCCTGTTTGCCTCAGTTTCTTCATCTGTAAAACAAAATGGAGAGGAAATGGTAAACCCAAACCCAAACTCCCAGTAAGAGTCGGACATGACTGAAAAGAATGAACAACAACAACTCTAAGATCTATGTTATTAAGCATTGTTAGAGATACACAGCTGAATTAGAAAATCATGAGAATTGGACCCCATAACAAAGATATGTTATCGATAACTCCTAGTCTATTTCTTCCTGTCCTTCACCTTTGAATCCCTAGCTCCCTTGTCCTACTACAGTAGTTCATGCCCTGCTGGTTATCAACCTTGGATCACCCTCCACAATCTCCCTCTGGTCCTACTTCTGTGCTGCTGAACTTCTGGAGGAACTCGCAAACCATGCCAAATGGATCTACTACAAATATATGTTAATCTGAACTGGGCCCTCACTGCTGTCAGTCAGTCAACAAGCATTTATTAAGTGGCTACTATGTGCCAGACACTATGCTAAGTGCTATGGATACAAAGAAAGTCAAAAGACAATCCCTGCTCTTAAGAAGCTCACAGAGGAGGGGCAGCTAGGCGGTGCAGTAGATAGAGCTCTGGACTCAGAGTCAGGAGGACCTGAGTTCAAATCTGGCCTCAGATATATGACACTTACTAGCTATGTGACCCTGGACAAGTCACTTAACCCTGACTGCCTCACTAAAAAAGCTAAAAAAAAATTTTTTTTAAAAAGCTCACAGACTATTAGGGGAGAGAGACTATATGGAAGTAACAATGGACAAACAATAAATATAGCACAAATTGGAGAGAATCAGAGAGAAGGCATTAGCTTTAAGGGGGAGCAGGAAAGGCTTCTTGTAGAAAGTGACATTTTAGTTGGGACTAAAAGGAAGACAGGAAACCTAGGAGGTAGAGAGGGTGAGGGAAAGAACTCTAGGCTTGGATGACATGCATAAAGAAAATGAGTGGAATCAGGACATGGAGTGACTTGTGTGAAGAACAGCAAGGAAGCCAGCGTCATTGGATCAAAGAGTATGGGGGTAGGGGAGAAAGATTCAAGAATAAAGGGAGTGAAAAGGTAAGAGGGGACCAGGTTATGAAGGGTTTTGAACACCAGCAAGTTTTATATTTGATCTTATTGAATAGAAGAGTTGACATGGTCAGACTTGCATTAAGGAAGAATAATTTGACAGCTGAGTGGAAGACAGACTTGAAGCAGGGAGACCAACCAGCAGGCTATCACAATAGTTCAGGTGGGAAGTGATGAGGGCCTGCTGCAAGATGGTGGTACTGTCAGAGGAGAGAAGGGGACATAAATGAGGGATGTTACAAATGTAAAATCGATAGGACTTGGCAACAATTGAATTTGGGGAATTGAGGGAGAGTGAGGAGTGAAAGATTACTTCTAGGATGTGAGCCTGGGTGACTAGGAAAATGGTGGTATCCTCCACAGAAATAGGAAAATTAGGAAGAGAGGAAGGCTTGGGGGGGATAGTTAATGAGTTCAGTTTTAGACATGTTGAGTTTAAGATATCTACAGGATATCTAATTCGATGTGTCCAATAGCAAGTTGGGAATGAGAGAATGGAGGTCAGAAGAGAGGTTTCAGTTATTCAGTCATTTTCAATCATGACTCACTCTTTGTGATCATCCTTTTTGAAGTTCTCTTGGCAAAGATACTGGAGTGGTTTGCCATTTCCTTCACCAGCCCATTGTACAGATGAGGAGACTGAGGCAAGCAGGGATAAGAGACTTGCTCAGGGTCACACAGCTAGTAAGTGTCTAAGGCCAGATTTTAACTCAGGAAAGAGTCTTCCTGACTCCAGGCTGAGCACTCTGTCTACTGCTCCACCTAGCTGCCTACCAGCCCCTTACATCCTGGCTTCTCATCACTCAAATGAGACTTCTTTTTTGAGGGTTACCAGTGATCTCTTAAGTACCAAATCTGATGGGCCTTTCTTTAGAGTCATCCTTTCTTGACTTCTCAGCAACTTTGGACACTCAAGCTTTCTCATATATTCCTTCTACTGTGTGGCCATTCCTTCTCAGTCTCCTTTAATGGATTATCATCTTTCCCCCACCCCTTGAATATAGATGTCCTCTAGGTCTTGGCTCTCTTCTCTTCTTTCTTTATACTTTCCTCTTTGGTTAGCTCATGCCTTCCAATGGGTTCATCTCTTTGCAGATTACTCCCAAATCTAGATATCTAGCCTTAATTTCTCTTCTGAACTCTAGTTCCACGTGACCAACAGTATAGTCACCTGGATGCCAAACTTGGCATTACAAACAGAACTTGATCCTTCCTCCAAAACTTGTCAGGGTTCTACTTTTCCCTGCTTCTGTTAAGGGAACTACCATTCACTCAGTAATATAGGTTCTAAAGTTGAGTCATCCTTGTTTCTTCCCTTTCCCCTATCAACCAAATTCAATAATTTATTAAGTCCTGTCAATTCTACCTCCCCAAGCTCTCTCATTTTCCCTTCTCTCTACTCAAAAAGACCCATCTCAAAAAGATTCAATCTCTTATCATTTCTCATCCAGACATTTGTTAACAGCCTCCTAAATGAGTTCCCTGTCTCCAGCCTCTCCCCTTCTAATCCACAGTCTATAGTAGTACACAAGTGCCGAAATAGTCTTCCTAAAGCAATGACCTGACCATTTAACAACCCTGCTCAAACACCTTCAGTATTTCCCCATTGCTTCTAGGGTAACATACAAACTCCCTATCCTGGCATTTAAAGCCCTCCATAATCTAGTTCAAATCTATCATTCCTACCTTATTGTATAATACTGGCCCTGAATACATACTAAATATTCCAGCCAAATGAACATATATGCTATTCCCAAACTCAGCATTCTATCTCCCCCCTCTGTCCTTTTGCCCAGAGACATTCCACATGCCCAGAATCTACTCCTTCCTTATCACCATCTCCCATAATCCTTATCTTCCTATAAGGACAAATCCAGATGTTATAATGTTATCCAAAAGGATTCCAGCTAAGCCCGCCATGGTCCAACTATTCAAGGGCTAGCATTAGCTCCTAGAAAGGGGAACATCCGCTAGAAAACATCTATGGAAGGAGTACCATCAAGTGGGGAAAAGAATCCATAATGTCAGCCTTCATAGGACTGTAACAGCAGAACAGTGAAGCTTGAAGAATAATGCTTCACAATGGAACAGTGAGAAGGAACATAACACTGGCCAGAAGAGGAGAACAGTGAATAAAGAAGCAATGGATACCTGCCAGAAGCAGAGCTGCTGCAACCATGATAAGTGATGAAGGAAGCCACTAAACTCCTCCTTAATGGAAGTGCACTCATAGCAATACTGTAATTTACAGGGACTCCACAAGTTTCTGGATAGCAGCTTAAGGGCTCCGCCAATTCCTTACAGACTCAAGTGTTAATTTTTTTGTGTCCTTTACTGTATAAACAAGGCTTAAAGCCTTGTAAGTGTGAATGCTTATAAGGGGAGCCCATGCTACCATTTAGGAGTGTCAAATCATAACAGTACCAGATTCTCCTATTTAGAAATCAGGTATCCAGAGAAATTTAGACATCTCCAAAATAATCTTGGGCCCTTCATATCACTAGTGTGCCCTGACACAAGGTTTCTATAACTGTATGACCTAGGTAAGTTTTGTCCATTTAAACAGAATATCCAGAAAGGTAAGCACTAAGAAATGTCATTAATAATAATAAAAATAATTATCATTTCATCCATGTGAGTAATACCTATGCTGACAAAGATCATAGATTCCCCATTCCTTAATAGATAGTTTTGTTAGTCACTATGGACAAAAACCCTCATTACCCCACAGATCACCTTCTACTCTCAAGTTACCTCCTGCTACAATTTCTGATCTACTGGCCAAGATGACCTCCACATTATCATAAGGCATCAGACAGATTTCACATCATGATAATATGTACAAGGCACTTATATGTACATGGCACTTTCCAGTCATAAAGCATTAGCTATGCATTATTTTATTGGATCCTCTGTAAGGTAGAAAATACAAGTATTAATAGCCTCATTTTGCATATGGGAAAACTGAGTCAGAGAGATAAAATGACTTGCCTAAGTTCAAATAGCTAGATCACAGAATCATAGAATTATCGATTTAGAGCTTGATGGGACCCAGAGGTCATTTTAGCCTAACTTCCTCATTTTACAGATGAGGAAATTAAGGCCCAGTAAGATTAAATAACATATCCAAGATTACTCAACTAGACGTGGTAGAACAAAAGCTTAAACTGAGATCTTCTGACTCTAGGTCCAGGTGGATCTAGGTCTATTGCATCACACCGGACTCCAGTATGGTCCTGACCAACATAATCTCACACTGTAAAACGTCACACATATCACACAACTACTAACACACCAAAGGCCTCATCTACAAGTTAGTAACCCACAGAGGACTACCCGCTGTATTAAGGAACTATTTCTTTTCTAAATAAAAATTTATAAATAAATGAAATTGATCCTACTGGGTCCAATTCTATATAACATGCTTGCCATCTAGTGGACAAAACAGGCAAAATGACCCTTTCAAAACTTTATTGGGATGATATTTTATACTTCTCTGGTACTTTTATTCCAAAGACCTCAAAGCATTTTACATGTGTAATTTCATTATCCATTCTAAAAGTTTATGTGACTGAAATAAATAATGAGTAATGGATTCCAAGCAAGTCTGAGAGAGAGAAAGATGACTATATTTCAATATCAATTATATACTTTGTAATCCTATAAATAAATACATAAAGTTCAGAAACCACTGCTTTATGGAGGCCATTTGAAGTTCAGGGAAGCTAAGGAAGGGAAAGGAACATTTAAAGTGTGGCTTCCTAGTCAAGCCCTTCATTTCATATTTACCTTGTTGACGGGGTAATCACTACAGTATTATTTCATACCAGTCCTATTTCTCCTGAGTAGTTTTACTCCTTTATCTACTAACAAAAATTTAAAATTAAACTAGAAAACACTCAGGATCACAGGTATTTTGTTACATCAGTGGAACTATGATCTTATCAATGTATATCT